AGAATTTACTGGCAAATCCTACCATTTGTTGTTTCCTTTGAACACTGCTGTTCTTTTGTTTTTTAAATGTTATGACCTAGCTATAGATGCTTATTGGGTCATTTAAAAAAAAAAAATTTTGATTAGGGGTCATACATAAAGGATGTTTGCAGATATGGGGGGGGGGTGTGTTAAAAAAATGCAGACAAGTGGGCAGTGGGGGGTAAAGGCTCTTAAGGACCACCGTATCCTAGCTTTTTTTTTGTTGTTGCTACATGCTCCTTCAGGCCTACTGCATGTATTCCTTCATGGCTGACCTATTTACAAAATTGTGAAAAATTTATAATGACATACCATGAAGAATTTAGTAAAAATTTCACAAGGGTGATAACTCTAAATATTTGGTTACAACAAATGTTAACAATGCAGTTTTTCCTCTCGTTGACGATAATCTAATAATTTATATTAGGGGCCATCCATGTATTATGGTATGCAAAAAAACGTAAAATATTAGACCCCTCCCCCTTGATGCATCTGTCTAATTTTGTTTGGACACCCCACCCCACTTTATGCATGGGTACAAAAAACACCACCTTTAACCTGCCTACGCGCAACGTGACCTCCTGGATGCACCCACGTTCAAAACACTGGCACCTAATTGATTATGTCATCGTCAGAAATAAGGACCGCCATGACGTGAGGGTGACTAAGGCCATGTGAGGCGCAGAATGCTTGACGGATCACCGCCTCATCGTCTCTGACATGACCTCAGGCCACCAAAGCACCAAAACGCCTCAATATAAGTTAGCTGAAGATCCATGATGTGAGACAATCCTTTGTTGACAAACTGGATGAACGTCTTGATACAATCACACTAGACAACTAGGACGCAGAAAAAGCGTGGACCATGCTTCGTGAGACGGTGTATAACACAGCCGCTGAGCTCCTCGGACCCTCTACCAGGAAACATAGGGATTGGTTTGACGAAAATAACACAGCGATCCAAATGCTACTTGAACAAAAACGTTGAAAAACTTCTACCGTAGCCTGAGAGAAATCTATGGAGTTGCCACCTCAGGCTCTTCCCCTATCCTTAGTGCAGACGGTTCTACACTCATTACAGACAAGGAGAAAATCTTGGAAAGATGGGCGGAACACTTTGAAAGTGTGCTAAATGCGCCTTCCAACATTAATGATGAGGCCATTGAAAGACTCCCCCAAGTCCCAACGAACAATTCACAGGATTGATGAGATACAGACAGCAATACCCCAAATGTCCAATAGCAAAGTACCTGGCTCCGACATGATTCCTGCCGAGATCTACAAAGAGGGTGGACCAGCGCTGACGGATAAGCTATTGCGTTTATTCCAGATCATCTGGCAGACGGAAACTGTACCACAAGACCTCAAAGATGCCTCGATTATCCACCTGTATAAACACAAAGGGAACTGCCAGACCTGCAACAATCACCGCAGAATTTCACTGCTGTCCATTGCAGGCAAGATCTTGGCCCAAGCCCTTCTGAACCACCTGAATGCACATCTGGAGCTAGGTCTCCTACCCAAAGTCAATGCGGTTTCCGAAAAAAACGCGGAACCATCGATATGGTGTTTGCCGCTAGGCCGCTTCAAGAGAAATGCCAGGAACAAAATACAGACCTATATTCCACATTTATCAACTTGAATAAGGCTTTTGACAGGGTCAATAGAGGTGGCCTGTGGAAAATCATGAAGTACAGATGCCCAGACAAGTTCACCAACATCATCCGTCAGCTGCATGATGGCATGGTGGCCCGAGTGCAGGACAACGGTCAGTCATCTCAGCATTCCCCCTCACAAACGATGTAAAGCAGGGTTGTGTTCTTGCTCCCACACTCTTCAGCATTATGTATTCCGCAATGCTGTCTGATACGTTTAAGGACTCAACCACGGGCTTGCCATTCCGGTTTCGTACTGATGGATCAGTATTTAACCTTAGAAGTCTTCAAGCTAAAACCAAGGTCAAACATAACGCCATCAACGAGCTTCTGTTTGAGGACGATTGTGCCCTCAATGCTGCCTCAGAATCCACCGTGCAGCACAGCGTTGACATCTTCTCTGAGGCTGCAATAACTTTGGCCTCACAATCAACACAAAGAAGACTGAGGTGATGTATCAGCCAGCTCCCACTAAGCCTTACGTTGAACCAAAAATCATTATCAGTGGACAACGTCTCAACCCGGTGGATAAATTTACTTAATTGGGCAGCACCCACTCTAGATCTGTCGTCATGGATGATGAAATGAATGGCACACTCGCAAAAGCTAGTGCCATTTTTGGCAGGCTCTGAAGCACTGTTTGGGACAGGAGAGGTATCAGACGAGAAACGAAGATCAAGGTCTATAGCCCAGCAGTTCTCTCGACATTGCTCTACGAATGTGAAACGTATGGACAGTCTACCAGCGTCACGCCAAGAAACTGAATCATTTCACAAAAGCTGCCTCAGGAAACTCCTCAGCATCAGGTGGCAAGACAAAGTCCCTGACACAGAGGTCCTCGCTAGAGCGAACCTACCTAGTATCTTCACCACCCTGATGCCGTCTCAACTCCGTTGGATGGGACACGTAGCCCGTATGGAAGACCTCCGGCTCCCGAAACAGTTATTCTTCGGAGAACTCTCGACAGGCAAGCGCTCCCAAGGAGGTAAAAAAAAAGCATTATAAAGACTCACTGAAAATGGCCCTAAAGGCCTTTAGCATTATCCCTACTCAATGGGTGGAGACAGCCCAGGACAGAGCCAGGTGGAGATGAAGGGGGCTAAACCCCATGAAGCTAATAGGATAACCACAGCTGAGACATGCAGGATTGCCCGAAAGAGCAACATAGGTCACCGGCTGCAGCAACTATCCCATGCCCGCGTGACAGAGATTTTTCCGAGCAGGATCGGTCTAGCAAGCCACCTACGAGCTCACCGTAATCCACCCTCACCTTAACCGGATGACTTGATGGTCCTAGTCGACTTCGACAAGGAACAACAACACAATGAGCTCTTAGCTGCCCCCCCTCCCCATTTTTATTCATAGACCATTATGACTGAAATAAATTAAATGAAGTCAAGTTAATGTATCCCATTGTTTCATAGCTTGTCCCTTAGTGCCCCCCCACACACACACCCGGGAGTCAGTTTGTACTCATCTGAGAGTCTATTATATGTCCTTCTATAGTTGGCGAAGGGAGGGGGAAGACGTTGGTTGGTTTAAGGGGTGGGGGGGCATTGTTAAAACATGATTGTTCTAAA